AGGACGTATTGGAGTTTAGGTAGAGCAAAACAATTCTTTAAAAGTTCACTTATCGTCACACAAATTACAAGCCATCCTGTAAGCTTACAGTGTTGGGGGTCAGCCCCTCTAAAGGTCAACGGTCCGGCCGGTATAGTACCAGCACGTGAAGCCAAGCAAAACAAACTCAGGGAAACAAACGGAGGAAGAACCAAGCAACATTTATTAAATATAATCAGTGGTACATGAAGGTGAAAGGTGCAAAATTAGTTGGTTAGTAATGAGACAGCCCAGGGCTATGAGTGATGTGGTGAACCTAGCATAAGAACATAAAGAACCAGCAGCCCAAACTGGTTGAACAGGAAAGAATAAACAAGGATAACTAGCAAATGATCAAAACTGGGCCAGGATGAGTGAACTAAATCTAATCAAAATACACAAGAGAAGATTGCAGTCTTGAAAATTGGTCTTGAGATAAAGCTTGGCTTTACGTGCTGGTACTATACCGGCCGGACCGTTGACCTTTAGAGGGGCTGACCTGACCCCCAACATTTGGTGCCCAGACCCATTTTCTTTTCTTGTAATCTTTGTATTTTTCTGGTCATTATATTTTTTGCGTGTGTTGTGTCAGGATGGCGGAGGAATCTCGTTCTGTGTTGGGTCATGCTGTGTTGCGTCCAGATGATGCTGGTGTTGAAAGTATTGCTGATCCTGGTGTGGGTGAATCCGCGACTGGTTCAAGGGCTGCTCCTGTTGTTGGTGATTTGGAAGTTAGGGTTCGTGAGACAGCTCGCTTGTCAGATCCACTAGAAAGTCAGGCGTTTGAGGACCAAGTTCAGGTGGTCAAGGAGATGTGTAGTCATGTTGATAGGGTGATAACTGCTTTGAGTTCTCGTGGTCCAAGAGACTTACCTGTTGAAGCTCATCAGGCGGTTGAAAAGTTGAAGGGCAAGATGATCTTGTTTGCTAGTGATGCGTCCATTCCTGTGGCTGGTAGTCATGTTTGAGGTTCGGTGACTCATGAGTCTGAGTCGTCAGTTGCTGCGAGTTCCTTTGAGGGAGTATCTAACTCGGAATCAGAGGTTGATGTTCGTCCTAAGCTTTTCAAGGGGAAAGCTAAGGGGTTGCCAGTCAAGGAAGAGAGGTCACAGGTTGCTTCGTTGCGTGCTACTAATGGCTCTATAGAAGAGAGGCTAATCCTTGCCTTGGAGCATCTTGACACCCGTTCTGTGCCTGCTCCTGAGCCGTATAATAGGTCCTCTGGGCATTCGTTTCGTAGTTTCCTGTCTAGTTTTGAGGAGTACTGTTGGCATAGCTTTTGTGGTAGCGATAAGGCGTGGGTTGCAGAGCTTGAACGTTATCTGGTCGGTGATATGCATGGTGCTTTCGTGGCACACCGTGCTTCTTCGGACTTGTATGGAGACATTAAGGCTAAAATAAATGCTCAGATGGTATGAGGAGTCTAAATCCCGCCGAGAAGCTGGCAGTAGAGCTATGTTTGGCCAGGCTTCGAAGCATACAGATGAATCAGTCCGCCTGTATGCTGCTCGACTTGAGAACCTCTTTCGTCTTGCTTTCCCAAAGAAGCAGGTAGACAACAGCCAAACTTTGCAGGAAAAGTTTTTGAGCTCCATTCCACGTAGATTTCGTATGCAGATCAAGAGTTCCATAAGCCTGGCTAAGGTAGTTGAAGGAAGTCAAGGAACTAAACTGAAATGGACTCAGATTGTCAAGCTTGCTGGAGCCTGGAGGGCTTGAAGAGGCTCTTACCACTGATGATTCTGCTGATGACGTTCAATCCTCGTGGTCCGTGATGCAGAGTGGTGTTCGGTCACTGTATTTCACGAAGACCGATGCTGCAACTCAGTGTCAGTCTGGAACTTCTGGTATTGGTTCGTTTTCTGGGTCGAAAGGTCGTTCGAGTTCAGTTCCGTCTTCGCGTTCCCAGAGGTCGCCTTTGTATGATCGTAGTGTCAATTTTAATGAGCGTGAGCATTCCTTGGCAATGACTTGTCACCATTGCAATAAGCTAGGTCACGTCAGGCGTGATTATAGGCGCAGACTGGGTTTGTGTCTCGTCTGTGGGTCACCGGATCATCGTGTTGCCAGGTGTCCTCGCCGTCAGTTTGCAGGTCAGGGGTATCCTGAGAACCATGCTGAACGCGGCAGGTCAATGAGCCCTGGTATGATGAACGATAGGTCGGCTCGAGATTCCCGAAATCAGCGTGTCCACTTTGAAGCTGACAGTGGTGAAGAAAACAAAAGCCGGTTAAACTCATACAGTCCGAGATGGAGGGAGTCACCTTGGAACTAGGAGTTGAGTTATCTCCTGCACCTGTCATGTCCGCTACCAGCTAGTTTTAGCTGAGAAAACTGAGTGTGTAACTTGTGAGACCGAGAAACCAATTACTGAACCTATCTGTGACAATCTGGTGCCCTCTGTAGAAGATGGGCCTGGTGAAGTTGTTGACCCTGCTCTGGTCGCCATTAACCTGTCGAGGCTTGAACCTGCGTCCCTGATGAAAATTCCTGTTTGTATTGGCAGAAAAGATCTGTCAGCGCTAGTTGATTCCGGTGTAACTGCAAGTCTCATAAGGACTAGTGTAGTTGAAGTTGTTCCATGTACTGATGAACTCCAAGATGTTATTGGATTGGGAGGTACCACTCGCGCTTTGGGAAAGATTTCTTGTCGAGTTGAATGTCGTGGCGTCACTTGTGTTGATTCGTCTTTCTTGGTTGTACCTGACTCTTGTCTTGAGCATGACGTCATTCTTGGTAGTGATTTCCTTACAGCTAACCGTTTGATTGTAGATATGGAGAAACGAGCCTTGCGGCAGAATTTTGAGATTGGTTGGACTGACGTTTCGTATGGTGAGGATGGTAGATCAGTTGTCCATCACACAATGTTACCTGTATTCGCATCATCCGATGTTTGTGTCCACTCGGGTGAGTCAGTCTTGGTGCCTGTTTCTGTGCCGTTTTCGTGTGATGGTGATTACTACTACAACGGCGAGATCAGTCAAGGGAATTTGCATGGTATTGAGGGAGTTCTTTCGTTTCCTGAGGGACAAAAGAGTGCTCATGTGATGGTGTGCAAGCCAATTTTTGCAAAAGACCGTTCTGAAATCATTCATAGAGGGACTATTGTTGGCTCTGTGTTGTCGATTGTTGATGTTCTCGTGGATGATGTTGAGCCGGATCTGCCTTGGACTGTGGAACGAATTGGTGATGCCGTTGACTTAAGTGGGTTGTCTAGTACTGAAGCCTCAGCGGTTCTGTGCATGCTTCTGATGCATAGCAGGACGTTTTCGCAAGGCGACAGTGACGTTGGCAAGGCAGCTGTTACTGAGCATGCCATCGAACTCACTGATGACACACCAATACGGCAGAAACCTGGAAGATTCCCGGAGCCCATTGTTGAAGCCAGTGACAGTCAGTGCAGGGAATTGGAAGCTCTGGACATCATAGCACCGAGTAAGAGCCCGTGGTCGTCGCCAGTGGTCCCGATACGCAAGAAAGACGGTAGCATTCGATTGTGCATTGACTACCGAAAGCTGAACTCGGTGACTAAAGCAGACCGATTCCCGATGCCGAACCTGACTGACCTTGTTTTAGCTTGCATGGAATGCAGTATTTCACTTCCTTGGACCTTGTTCGTGGATACTACCAGATCCCTCTGGCCAAGTCAAGTCAAGAATATACTGCTTTCTCTACTTCACGCAGCCATTATCAATTTAAACTGTAGAGTTTCGGACTGAAGAATGCTCCTGCTGCATTCCAACGCGAAATGCAAGAAATCCTAAAAGGCTACTTGGGAAAACACGTGCTGGTGTACATCGATGACATCTTGATCATGTCCCGCACTCTTAATGAGCACCTAGACCTGGTCAGCTCTGTCTTGCACACCTTAGGAGAGTATGGCATTAAGATCAAGCCTTCTAAGTGCCAGTGGTTTCGGAGTAGTGTACCATTTCTTGGTCAATTCGTAGGCTCAACGGGACTGCACAAGGCTCCAGAGTATGTAGAGAAAGTGCGTAACTTCCCTAAGCCTGAGACCATTCACCAGTTGCGCCAATTCCTTGGCTTGGTGAACTTCCAGAGGAAGTTCATCCCCAACTGTTCGGAAGTGGCACAGCCACTGTCTTGCCAGACTGGAGGATCAAAGAAACAACGCTTGTTGTGGACCGACAGTATGGAGACTGCATTCAACCAACTGAAGGAACTCATGGAACAGGACATGAAGTTGTCTTTCCCGGATTACAGTTTGGATGCTAGTCCTCTTTAGCTTCACGTTGACGCATCTGGCCTTGGTTGCGGAGCGTGTCTGACGCAAGTCCAGCAAGGTGAACGTCGGGTGATAGCCTTCAACTCGATGACCTTCTCAAAACCTCAGCAGCAATACTCCACTATTGATCGTGAACTGACTGCAATTCGATGGGGAGTCAAGGTTTTCCGTCCTTTTTATATGGTGTCCATTTCATCCTGTACACTTGTAGCGGATCTCGCTACATAGCACTAATATTATGCATAACATATCACTAATTCTTATATTTCTCATACTAACATAATATAACTAATTTTTATGTTTCTTATACTAACATTAATATTAACACTTCCGTCTGTATGCTGCTCGACTTGAGAACCTGTTTCGTCTTGCTTACCCAAAGAAGCAGGTAGACAACAGCCAAACTTTGCAGGAAAAGTTTTTGATCTCCATCCCACGTAGGTTTCGTAAGCAGATCAAGAGTTCCATAAGCCTGGCTAAGGTAGTTGAAGGAACTAAACTGAAATGGACTCAGATTGTCAAGCTCGTTGGAGGGCTTGAGGAAGCTCTTACCACGGATGATTCTGCTGATGACGTTCAATCCTCGTGGTCCGTGATGCAGTCTGGTGTTCGGTCATTGTATTTCACGAAGACCGATGCTGCAACTCAGTGTTCGTTTTCTGGGTCGAGAGGTCGTTCGAGTTCGGTTCCGTCTTCGCGTTTCCAGAGGTCGCCTTTGTATGGTTGTGGTGTCAATTTTGATGAGCGTGAGCGTTCCTTGGCAATGACTTGTCACCATTGCAATAAGCTAGGTCATGTCAGGCGTGATTGTAGGCGTAGACTGGGTTTGTGTCTCGTCTGTGGGTCACCAGATCATCGTGTTGCCAGGTGTCCTCGCCGTCAGTTTGCAGGTCAGGGGTATCCTGAGAACCGTGCTGAACGCGGCAGGTCAATGAGTCCTGGTATGATGAACGATAGGTCGGCTTGAGATTCCCGAAATCAGCGGGTCCACTTTGAAGCTGACAGGAGTGAAGAGAACAAAAGCCAGTTAAACTCGTACAGTCCGAGATGGAGGGAGTCACCTCGGAACTAGAAGTCAAGTTATCTCCCACACCTCTCACATTTGCAAGTCGCGACGATCAGCTGGTTTTAGCTGAGAAAACTGAGTGTATAACTTGTGATACTGAGAAACCAGCTACTGAACCTATCTGTGACAATCTGGTGCCCTCTGTAGAAGATGGGCCTGGTGAAGTAGTTGACCCTGCTGTGGTCGCCATTAACCTGTCGAGGCTTAAACCTGCATCTCTGATGAAAATTCCTGTTCGTATTGACAGGAAAGAACTGTCAGCGCTAGTTGATTCCGGTCCCACTGCAAGTCTCATAAGGACTAGTGTAGTGGAAGTTGTTCCATGTACTGATGAACTCCAAGATGTTATTGGATTGGGAGGTACCACTCGCGCTTTGGGAAAGATTTCTTGTCGAGTTGAATGTCGTGGCGTCACTTGTGTTGATTCGTCTTTCTTGGTTGTACCTGATTCCTGTCTTGAGCATGACGTCATTCTTGGTAGTGATTTCCTGACAGCCAACCGTTTGATTGTAGATATGGAGAAACGAGCCTTGCGGCAGAATTTTGAGATTGGTTGGACTGACGTNGTAGCTTAATGGCATACAAAACATATAAGAACAGCATTTCCTGAAGTTAATAAATGCATGTGCAACACTTACAACGAATCTACAATATTTATATTTCCAGTAGAGCTTCAATAGGTTTGCAGCTACTAATTCAACATTTTGGATGTGGATTGGATTCCAAATTTTTTACCTCAAATGAAGCTAATAACTTATCACTAATAATTTTATAGATCCAAGTCATTAACATAGAGTTCTCAAAGATTAGAAAGTATTAAATATTAGGTCAGGTATATACAAGATGGTTTCTACCCTGTCTCTTATACACATCTAGATGTGTATAAGAGACAGGGCTTAAACCCCTAAATAAAGTCCCAGGAGGGGGTGACTCCATGCTTCACAGCTTACTGGTCGTGATGGAAAATCACCAAAACCACGTGAACTCCGCTTTTGTTGTTCCTGAGTCCATTCAGGCTTTAAGAGTTGCTCTGGTTGTTGAGCTGCTGACTAATGGTCATGCCTATGGCATCCAACTGTCCAAGTTTTCCAGGCGTGAACTTATGGTCATGAAGAGTCCTGGTCAACTCTTGTGCAAGGAAGTTCTTTTGGCGTTTTGTGGACTGTATGGCTTGCAAGTTTGGGTCCATTGTGGAATGGAGAAGCCAATAATAAATGCGCTTCCTGGCGCTCCTCTGGCAGATGCTGGTGGTAGAGTGCACTTGCAGTGGTTGGCTGGAGTACATTATAATCCGGTTGAGGAAACCAGGCAGAATACAGGTGTCATTTCTGCTTCCTTGCCAGCTTTGTCATCTCCTGCAGATTGTTTATTGGACCATGTTGATGAATGGGAAGAGAGTCCTGAAGTGGTTGTGGGTGCTCAGTGGGTTGATTCGTCTTGTAGTTGTGGTAATTCGTGGTGTTCAACAGTTGTGGTGTCCTTCGGTTCTGTCCATCTTTGTGCATTGGTTGATACGGGAGCTCTGGTTTCTGTGATTCGGGAAGATGTTTTACGCTCATTACCAGATGAAATGAAACTTGATTCAGACTCTGACACGTCAGGTCTGACTTTGAGTGGAGTTGGAGAAAATATCACAGGTGTAAAAGGTGTGGTCTTGCTAAGATTCAAGATACTTGATCATGAGTTTACTGACCCTTTTCCGTTTGCGGTGATAGCTTGTGATAGGCTGCCGTTTTGTGTTGTGTTGGGAGCAAACTTTATTCGGTCATATGGTGTGAAGCTGGACTTTGCAAACCAAACTATGTCATTTAAGCTGGAAGATGAAACCTTTTTCTGTCCTTTCCAGCCTCAAGAAGCATCCTCTGCTCAGGTTCAGCTGTGTTTTGCACATGAGATACATGATTCTGCTGTTGCTGACCCTAAGTTACAACCCTTGATTGTTGCTGAAACCGATATAGCAGCATTGCAGGCAAGTGATTTGACCATGCGGACTCTGACTGAGAAGGTTGTTATGATAAATTTAAATTATGCTTAAATTTGTTTCCAATTAATTCTCTCTTTTCTGTCTCCAGTGTTTGAATGTTAGATTGATTCAGATCAGTGGAATACTAAAGCCAGTTAATGTAATTTTTGTGCCAAGTCATCTTCTTCATGGGTTGTTATTGACTAAGGCAGATTTGCTTTTCTGACCTAGTGCCTTTTGCTGACTAACCTGCTGCATTAAATGAACCTGCTTTCTGGTTATGATGATATCAAGACTGACCTGTTGCTGAACTGCTGATAATGCTTTTCTTGGCTCTTTAAATAGGTGAGTAGAGGGAATACTCTTGCCACGCATCTCAGTCCTAAATTTTAATTATTGAATGTTATCAGTAAATGTTTGTATATATCATCAATCATCCCCTTAAATTGTTCTAGAGTTTAGTAGTAGGTAGCTAATGTGTATTTATGCGTTTCAAGTGTATGTATGTGTTTCAAGTGTTTTGTTGGATAGGCTTTATGTGTTGTTCCTGCACTTTTGCAGAGCGGCCAACGTGGAGCATATTCTTGGCTAGTTTGGAGCACGTTCTAGTCCAATCTGGGACAAATCTTCGGGCGAGTGTTGCCGCTCCTGGACGAGCATCAGAACCGCATGTCAGCAGAGTCTTGGGCCACTTGTGGGCCATATACAATCCAAGTTTGGAGTCAGTGTTGGGGCCTCGTTTATGCCCAGCCACGTTCAGTCTGCTTACTCCTGCTGTAACCACTGCGGCAAGCCCATTCTGTTCCCTCCACTACTTACCACCGATAAGATCACCGCGTTCTTGTTTTCCTATGGACTCTGCTCACTGATATTTCCAGACCCCGGCCTGAGGATTGATAAAGCCAAGCTTTAACTCAAGACCAATTTTCAAGACTGCAATCTTCTCTTGTGTATTTTGATTAGATTTAGTTCACTCATTATCCTGGCCCAGTTTTGATCATTTGCTAGTTATCCTTGTTTATTCTTTCCTGTTCAACCAGTTTGGGCTGCTGGTTATTTATGTTCTCATGCTAGGTTCACCCCATCACTCATAGCCCTGGGCTGTCTCATTACTAACCAACTAATTTTGCACCTTTCACCTTCATGTACCACTGATTATATTTAATACATGTTGCTTGATTCTTCCTCCGTTTGTTTTCCTGAGTTTGTTTTGCTTGGCTTCACGTGCTGGTACTATACCGGCCGGACCGTTGACATTTAGAGGGGCTGACCCCCAACAACAGATACAGAAAAAATGCTATAAGGCTGCTGATATGAAGCTTGCAGTGAACAAGGTTGTTGTAAATGCTCAATGGCATGTTCATGGATATGGTAATATCGCATCAATAATACAGTAATATCCCATCAATAATACAGTACCATCAAGTGTCAACTGGGGGATTCCGCCATGTTCATAATGATGGCCAAAGCAGGGCCATAAATGATGGCCAAAGTCACTCTGGAGTTTATGACCTTGTTTACAACCCTAGTTCAGAGTACTTTTTGTAATGGGTGAGTACATTCTGCATGCTGTAAAAGTTTTAAAATTAAGTTTTATTGCAAGTGTCCTAACTTCCCTAGTAGCCCTGTTCGAAGGGGCTACTCGGGACACTTTTTTTTGCTTCTGGCACTGGCACCTTAATAATAGCATATTAAATTTTTTTGACAATGCCATTTGATTTTGATAGCCCTTGCAAAGAGCTATGAAATGAGCCTAAACTTGTTTATGAAATGTTTCATCGTAAGAAGTTATTAACAGATAATAACAAAAAAACGCTCAAAACTGTCCCGAGTAGACCCGGTCGACGGTACTTTAGAAATTGGTTTAACCCTTTAGCGGGCAAGCATTGAAATATCCAGAAATAAAAATTTCAGAAACCATTTCAAGAAACTAAGAAAGTAAGAAGTATTAGGTCCTATACAATATATTTATTTATATGAATTTTTGCAAATTTTGCCTATTGAATGATGAACATTTAAATCGCACTTGAAGAATTCAATAAATGCGATCAGTACACAAAATTTTTCTTAATAGTAAAAATTCAGTTTATGCAAATGAAAAATTAAAAACATAAACATTTAGGTAATTTAATTAAATTTATTCAAGTTGCCAAAATAAATAAATATATATATTGATACTAGGTATATAGCAGCATAATAGCATCAATTCCATTATCCGAGTCAAAACATTCATTTAAATGCTCATATTTCAATTTGTGGACTTTGCAGCTGGTGATGCTATAGATAGAACGATGGTCAGATAAATTAGTGATTGATTGAGGCATTATAAGGATGCCTCAAAAACAAACAGGAAGCCGTGGTGAGGCTTTTTGTGACGCGATTTCAAGTGATCATATATGGTAACTTACCCGTGAAAGGGTTAAATCTTGAGTAAATGAGGAAATTAAAAATGAACGGGTCACACTTAAAAGCTGAAGGCGCTGAAGTAGCTGAAGATGCTGAAGTGCGGAACATATGTGGCGAATATTGGATCGATCGACTTACTTTGTTACTTTGTTAAGATACGGCGCAGCACCGACGTAGGTATTAGCGCCCCCACTCCGCCTTATTTCAGATCGATTTCAGTAGATGAGTCTTAAGCAGAAATTGTATTATCAGTTCTGGGTCAAAGGGTGGCAGGAGAATTGTGTTCAGAGAGAAGGGAAGGTTTAACTGCTGACAGGCAGAGCGTAGGCTACGTTGCTGAGGGGTGTATAGTGGGCAATCTATGAGAATGTGTTTCATTGTTTGTAGGCATTGGCAGGAGGAGCAGGTGCGAGGTAAGGACTTTGTAAACAAGTGACTGTGTGTAATGAGGCAAGATTCTAGTCGAAT